GTTTAAGAAAGGACTTGTGTCGCTAAAGTTTCGTCGGAACGAATTTACGGAAAATTAACTAACGAACGGAGACGTAACAATATTTATCATAACCAACCAGTATAGCACCAAAGCCGTATTGTTTTATAGGAAATATATTTCCACTGGTTCTCTGATATTGCTCGTATTCTAGACGTTGTCGAGTATTTTTACAGAAATAATCTAACGTTTGCGCAATAAATGAAAGAAAGGCCTCTTACTGGTGTATTAATTTAATAAATAAGATTTCTTTCCTGCTCAACGACGTTCCGACATCGGTAAAACGTGACTTTTTTGTTAGTCGCTTGCCAAATGAAACGTGTGAACTATCGTTAGCTGTTCTTGCCCTCAAATATCACCCCCTAGTTGGCTGATTGCCAGGAAATCTATTGTCCCTTTCGTATGGAAATATTTGACACCAATACACTGCAGCGGCTAGTTAGAAACGAAAGTCGTGACCCACTAATAGAAAGCTCGCTGAATAAGCTAGAAAAACCACCTATCTTCCTCACGTTTGCTTCTCGTCAAATAGATAAATATTGGAATTCTTGCTTTCTGTCTCGTGAGGTTAAATGTTATTATGTATCCACTAATTTTCCCATAATACTACGAAAACATGTTATAAGCCTTCTGTTTCCTAGTTACGTGGATTCTCGGGAGCTTAGTGTCAATTTACTAATTATTTACAGTCAGTATAATTACTTTATTGAGACTGTATTACGACTTTCCTAGCCAATTACTCTTAAATCCATCCCATGCCCATACAGCATATAAAGCCGGTGCTGTACCCCAGACACCTGCTGGTACCCATTATACACCTGGCCAGAACAGAAACAACAGGGGATAAATCGCCAACTCATGTTTCCTGATGAGAGCCCAAAACACTAGCCATTGGGCCACACTGCTCGTTACTGAAGGACTATTTTAGCCCTCCTAAGTTAGAAAATTGTATTACGCCTTTCCTTATTATAAAAATTCTGTTACGCCTTTCCTTCTTGTAGAAGTTGTATTACGCCTTTCCTTATTATAAAAATTCTGTTAAGCCCTTTTCTTCTTGTAGAAGTTGTATTACGCCTTTCCTTCTTATACAAGTTGTATTACGACTTTCCTTCTTATAGGTAGTTGTCTTACGCCTTTCCTTCTTATAGAAGTTGTATTACGACTTTCCTTCTTATAGAAGTTGTATTACGCCTTTCCTTCTTATACAAGTTGTATTACAACTTTCCTTCTTATACAAGTTGTATTAAGACTTTCCTTCTTATAGGTAGTTGTATTACGCCTTTCCTTCTTATAGAAGTTGTATTACGCCTTTCCTTCTTATAGGTAGTTGTATTACGCGTTTCCTTCTTATAGGTAGTTGTCTTACGCCTTTCCTTCTTATAGAAGCTGTATTACGACTT